CGACTTCAGTGTTGCCAACAATAATCCGCGCTTGGGGGTGCTCAGTCTTCAGCTTCAAGAGTTGCGAAAGTGTATTAGGCCTGTGGAACGTGACACGGGGCCCGCGAAATTCAACGTATTGGGTCTCCCACTCGGTTTGCACCTGAAAAAAATGTTACGATAGTTTGTATTGTTCTGGGGATAAGTCTTTTTTCTCTTCCAGTTTCTATTATTTATTTGTTATGTGGTTATTTGTTGTTTATAGTATCATTTGAGGAAGTTTTATTTTTTAAATCATGTTTTCTTTATGTTCGTATATTTCTATTTTCCAATAACTATTGTCAACCTGCAATATAGAATCTTCTATTTAGCAATGTCCATAATAATAATTGTATAAGATTAATGTCAGAATAACGTTATTCTACACTAAAAATAGCTGTTACTGAGAAATTTGTTAATAACATTATATAATCTTCAAAATACTTCTTTAGGAATATATAAAACATACGAATAAACAAATCCCCAGATAAAAGAAAAATTATTATTAAATCCATAGATATATAAATCAATGCATACATAAAATACACGAATAAACAAACATAAACAAATAAACAGAAATCCCATAAACAAAATAACAATCCATATGCCTCTCTACCTTAAGCTCTGGGGGGAAAATAAGCTCCTGGGTAGGATCGTAAGGTTGAAAATCCTCTGCGTCATAGAGAACGTGCGTGACGTCACTCACTTCCCCAATCTGACCTTCCGTCTCTCCGTTCTGCATCTTGGGATCCGTTTCGACGAGGTGGCCGTTCGTCTCGGAGGCATCTGGGATTGGACAGCGGGTTAGTTCCCTCGCCGAATGAGCTGCTGTTTGAAGACGGGGAGAAGTGCTTGCATGCATGTATGTAAGCATGTGTGCACGCTTTAAAGAACTGGTTAAATGCATGCAATAAGCATATGAAACAACAAAATCATATAAGCAGCTGAACGAAAAATAATAGGGAAGTATAATCAGTCGAAGAAATGAAAGAAAAATAAATGGAATAGTCTTCGAATCTAATAACCTTTTGCCTTTAATTTACAGCAGTCCTTCCTGCCGCATCCGCCTCCTGCAGGGGCGTCGGTGGTGAGGCCTCTGAACCCCTCCATGATGGGGCGGTATCCTGTGCACCGGCAGAGGTTCCCTGTGAAGGATAAGGGTAATAATAAATAAGCGGTTTAACAATGCCAGTTTCGAGCGGCTTCGTTATATCGCCGGCAAGTACGTTACATATCTGTTGGGTGTCAGTATCATCAGCCATTTCCACGGTTGGTGAATGTGTTGATGGAGAAAACTATATAAGTAATCATACAAATATAAACCTAAATATATTTAAAATGTATCACTCTACGTGTAAACGTATATGAGTAAAAAAATGTCTATATAAAAAGAGAAGCTACATTACCATGTGTCACATGCAGTTATATATTCTAAGACAAATATGTAGACATACAATAAGGTTAAAAAAAAAGCCTAGACACTTCTTGGCAATCTCCTACCTGTGAAGTACTCGTCGAGCTGTTCCATGGACGGCTTCGGGTGGTTCCTGAGCAGCGTGTACATGGACATGACGATGCCGGGCGTGCAGAAGCCGCACTGGGAGCCGTGGGCGCGGGCGATCCGCTCCTGCACCGCGTGGAGGCGCGTCTGCGTCGACCCGATGCCCTCCACCGTCGTCACCGCCATCCCGTGCACCGCCGCCACGGGGGCCAGGCACGCGTTGACCGAGTAGTGGCTGTGGAGGATGAAGTAGTGAGGCTGATATTGTGTCTGCGTTTTGGAGTTTATTACCTACATACAGTAATCGAGATGGCACTTCTAAGTTAGCAGAGCTGCGGACAGGCCTACACAGTGCAAGTACAAACACACACATTCGAAACACACCATACACCGCAAAATAAGAGGCTTACAATACACCTTTATGACCGCAAACTTCCTCTAACCCCAAATATTAGAGATGATTGCGGGAAAGAGAATTAATATCTGACCTAACCAAGCATAGTTGTTTGGTTGACGTCTACAACCATAAAGAATTCGCGAATGGATAAAAAATAACAAAAAACAATGCAAGGGATCAGATTAAAGTGAAATCATGTCTTACCAGCAAGTCAGTGGCCGAGTTTTTATTCAGTCTAACCCTCTTCTAAAATATCGCACATGCAGCCACAGAAAATAGCGAAAATGCAATAATTTTATGCGGAAAATCAACAAGACATCACGATCTAACGATAACAAAACAACCATACATAAGAAAATAAAATAAAATCATGATAAATTTAACCATACCAAAAAAATGCATTCAAAAACAACACTAATCGAAACAAACAAAAAACGATAACCAAGTCACCCAATTTCCCGAAATGTCTATCTCGGGAATCACTCGCTTCCTGTTATTAGTGAGCGGAGGGGGAGGGGGAGGGGGGGTGATTCCGCTTCGGGGGAAGCAAATGCCTCGGTGAAGGTCAGTCGATTGTTGATTTT